TGTCCCGCCAAAGTAAACATTAAAACACGTTCGAGATCAAATTGATAAAAACAACATTAACTTATTTTTCCATTTTTTCATCAACAAGTACAGTACCCGCTCCTCCTTGGAGACCCAGAGAAGCTTCCTATTGGCTCCAAATTTGCGGGGGGCGTGGCTTGTGATTTTCTCGAGCTGCTGTTGGTTGGTTCATGGAGCTGTTGGTCGTAACAATTGTACTGCAATATCGCTGCAGTTGTTGGTGTGGTGGTACAGTGGTGAGGGTATAGTGGGGGTACAGTGGTGGGGAATTACAGAGGTACAGTGGTGAAATTGCAGTGTTGATGCAGTAATTGGAAGTTACAGTGAAAATTGTCGCCCTTGCCTCGCTATCGTCACACACACACACACACACACACACACACACACACGCCTATCCAAACATCATTATTTATCTGCGTTTACCTGGGCCCTGGGAGAGAAAATAATTGTAAATAAAACTCTCTCTCTCTCTCTCTCCCTATCGTGTCCTTAAGAAAGTAAGTTAAGCAATAGACAAATATAAAAACAGAATAATCAATAACCATCAATAATTCCCAAGAGGGTTTGTTTGTTGGTAAATAATAACAACGACAACATGTGAGCTGATGGAAGACACTTTATCTCTGTGGGTCATCTTTATAAACACGTCCTGTAGTGATTTGTCTTCTAAAACGTTTGGGATTTATTAATTCACCTTTTGTATAGTTTGATAATATGTTGATTCCTCACGCAACAGAATGGTTAGGTTAGGATTTGGTATTATTCTCAAGGTCTATAGGATAATGTTGTACGATAATTTTTAGGTTGTCTACGTATGATAATTCTTAGGTTGTAGACGTACGATAATTCTCAGGTTGTCGATATACGATAATTTTTTACCATAGTTGTAGAAGCGATCATATTTTTCTCAGTTAAATGATGATTATTTTAAGTCATTGTGATGTTAAACTCAATTATTGTCTCATTAGGAACACAATATGGGTCGTACAGGGAACCGCTTCCATCTCTCACTTTTCGAACACAAATAATAACTTGACCTTGACCTGTGCGTGTTGCCGCTTCATGGTCACTCATTTTCCATTATTTTTAGCTTTCCCGCCAAATTTAGCTACAAGCCTAAACAAAATATTCTCGAGCTATTACATATTGGAACTAATAAAGAAATTAGTTCCGTTTTTCTCATGGTTCAAATTATATTATTTATTTTACATAGCAAATATTTTAAAGAAAGAGGAATATATCTGAAAAATAATAATAATAAAACACGTAATGGAAAAATGGAGTCGACTGACGCGTGACATAAAGTAAACGGCAGATGCAAACACAACAGCTGCCCCCACTCTCCACCTCCTGCACCCAGACTGCTTTATCTCACCTCCTGCACGCTTATGACCCAAGCTGCTGTGTGTGTGTGTGTGTGTGTACAAGAGATGCCCCACCATTACACGTAGGGATCCATAGTGAATTAGGACCTCTGGAGGGGTGACCACAGCCCCACAGAAGAGGTGTGACTGAGAGTTTCCCGGCTGCTTTGACCTTAACTCTCTCTTGACTAATCACGATAATTACTTCGTCAAAACCTAACCTAACGTCAATGTTTTAGTATTGGTGTGGCGAGTGAGATACGTGTGTTAGAATCCTTTAATCATTATAGGAGTTAAAGATCAATAGTTACCTTGTAAAGTAATTATACAAGACACGTCACATAAGTTTTTACCAATGGAGAGTGAAGCAGTATTAAACAGGAGACAAGAGTTACTTAGGTTAACGTCGTGGTAACTTCTCGACACACACACACACACACACACACACACACACACACACACACACACACACACATCCTAAAATCACAGCTAAAAATTTCCTTGTTAAAAAAAAGGAAAACCTCAAATATATTTATCTCACGTGACCCCAAAAGACGGATGCTATAAACTAAAAAACATATATTTTTTATAAGTACGTCCATATAGGTATCAGTTTGTGTGACTGTGGAAGGAAACGGCACGGAGGAAGATATACCAGACAAGTTATCCTTAACCCAGGGCGCCAGACTGTCCGGTGTTGGAGGGAGCGTCACCCCCTTACTCTCCCTTCCCACCACTCTCCTCCTGATAACTTGAGTCACTTTAAAATATTACTCTATGGTTTATATAATCTTGGAACACAGTTTAATGTATGGAGTTTATGATGGAACTGATGCCTGTGTGTTCTCTCTCTCTCTCTCTCTCTCTCTCTCTCTCCTCTCTCTCTCTCTCCTCTCTCTCTCTCTCTCTCTCTCTCTCTCTCTCTCTCTCTGGCCAGCAGCCACTTCCAGGGATGTCCCAAAGTATACAGCAGTTCAGGGAGCCTGGCAGTGCTCTCCCCTCCATCCCTGTACCACCTCCATGGCTACCACCCCATCCCCACCAGCCACCCACCCATCCTGGCCACCACCCTATCTTAGCCCACCACCCTCCTAGACACCTTGGCCAACACCCTCCATAGCCACCACCCTATCCTTGGCACTACCCCTCCCCTAGACACCCCTTGGCCGCTTACCCTCCATAGCCACCACCCTATCATAGCCTGCCACCCTATCTTAGCCACCACCCATGTAGCACACCTATCTTGTGCCCATCGCCCACCACCCTATCTTGGCCACCTCTTGGCCGTCATCTCATCCTGGCCACCCCTCCCTCCGCTGGACAAAACTTCAGACAATTATCCCATCATTGGACAAAACTTGACATCTATTACTGGACAAAACTTCAGACATCTATTACTGGACAAAACTTCAGACATCAATTACTGTACAAAACTTAATTTATACCATTACTGGACAAAACTTCAGACATCTATCTGGACAAAACTTCAGACATCTATTACTGGACAAAACTTCAGACATCAATTACTGTACAAAACTTAATTTATACCATTACTGGACAAAACTTCAGACATCTATCCCATTACTGGACAAAATATCATCCACTAAACACCACCATCCCGCCACTACGGTGTTAATAACTCGTGTTGCGGAAGAACTAATTCTGTAACATCCTGACTACAGTATTTATCACTTTATTGTTATCTAATTCTTTTTTCTATTTTTATTGTGTTTTTCTTTTAAATATTTCTATATACTTATCATAATTTAGCGCTTTGTATCGTAGTTTTATATGTATGTGTGTATGTATGTATGTATTTTATGTATACACCACACGACACTAGAAAAACAACAAAACAGTATTAAGAAAAAAAACAAGACTACATTATAATTATTAAAGATTACAAGAAAAACTGTAATTAATGACTTCAGCTGTAGCACAACCACTCCCCTCGCGTGTTATTAAGTACAGCTGAAGTTTTCTTAGTATCTGTATTTCTGAAGTCAATTTACGCCTCACACACTTATATAAACCGTACATTAAATACAGTTATTTTAATACAGCATACGTTACTGTACCGTTTTGTATTTTATTTGGGATTGTGAATTGTTATTATTACCAAAATCATTATATAAAAACCATTCGTTCTAATACTATTCAGTCCTTCATCAACACAAGAACAATGGAGTCTCTGAAAAATTAATCCTTTCCAAAAACACCTGAGGTATTTGTGTTTAATATTTATCACAAGGATATAACCAAAACCATTTAATATGTAGATTTTCTTAGGTGATATGGCTACCTTGTTTATATGAACGAAATACGAGAGCGTTAATCAGATTATTGCAATACTGGAACACTGAAACACTAGAACACTGAACCACTAGAACACTGAACCACTGGAACACTGAAACACTAGAACACTGAAACACTAGAACACTGAAACACTGGAACACTGAACCACTGGAACACTGAAACACTAGAACACAGGAACATAAACCACCCACACTGTTCCTAGGAATCGCTGGACCTCGGAACAAGAACTATCATTGCTTATAGTTGCGTGAGAAATGAGACTTCCAGTGGGTGTTGGATTAGCGGTGTTGACAACGGATCCATACTCTTATAATCAGGTTGCAGGGGCGGGGTCATGGGAGGTCAGAGGTGGGCGTGGGGGTCATGGTAGGTCACTGCTGGGGAGGGGGGTCATGGGAGGTCAGGAGGTGTGGGGGTCATGGGAGGTCACAGCTGGGAGGGGGGACATGGGAGGTCAGAGGTGGGCGTGGGGGTCATGGTGGGTCACAGCTGGGGAGGGGGGTCATGGGAGGTCAGGAGGTGGGCGTGGGGGGTCATGGTAGGTCACAGCTGGGGAGGGGTCATGGTAGGTCACAGCTGGGGAGGGGGTCACAGCTGGGGAGGGGGGTCATGGGAGGTCAGAGATGGAGGTCGGTGGTACTGATAGGTTCTGCGCCCTGACCCCATCACGCCCCCACTAGTTGAACATCCGCAACGTGATACAGCCAGCCAGCCTGCCTGCCAGCCTGCCAGCCTGCCTGCCAGCCAGCCTGCCAGCCAGCCTGCCAGCCAGCCTGCCTGCCAGCCTTGCCAGCCTGCCTGTCTGTAGTTGAAGTAACATCAGGAGTGGAGATAAATGTGAGGGAGGAGGGAGGAGGAAGAAGGGAGGGGGTGAGGGAGGAGGGGGGTGAGGGAGGAGGGGGTGAGGGAGGAGGAAGAAGGGAGGGTGAGGGAGGAGGAAGAAGAGGACGATAGAGGGGTCGGTGAATCGTTCTAGGAGTGAGGGAGGAACGGGGGGGAGGGGAGGGGTGGGGGAGGGGTGGGGGAGGGGGGTGGGGGAGGGGAGGGGAGGGGGGTGAATGTAGGGGTAAGAGTGGCAGGTGGTCGAGGACACACACACACCACCTGCTACTCCTCACACGAGAAGACTAGTTAGCCAGCCTCAAGTCTCCCCCCAGTCGACCACAGACACTCGAGCTGGACAACCACAAGCCCTTAACCTTGACGCAAAAATAAACTCTCATCCAATTTATACGTCAAGGGTCAGTTTGGCGTGATGAGGGAGAAATTAGGTGGGTTGTGCGTGAGGTGTTGTGGAGTGTGCGTGGTGGTAGGCGGCAGGGAAGCGTTCTTGGTAGTGGAGGTAGTGCAGCCGCCGAGGTGTGTGTGTGTGCCTCGACCACCACCTGTGAGAACGACTCGAGAATCTTGGTGTTTAAAGACGATTATGAAGATGATAGGGGGAGGGTAGAGGTTGACCCATGGTGTGATCTGCCTCACTGATAATGAGTCAAGGTGACGGTGTTATATGACTCATTTGTCCACGTTATCACCGCTACCATCTTCCCCCTCGCTCGTGGTCAGGGGAGGAGAACCCGTAAAACACGTACTATATATAAAACCTTTAACTATACTGTTCTACATAATTGTTACGTGGCCATTAAGATTGTATCACGAGTTTAAGCGTAAAGTGTTACTGAGTCGTGAAGTGTTTGCCGCTTGATAACTGTGACGTGTCAGCGTCACACACATTACTTTACCCAAGAGCTTCTTTACCTGAGGAAAACTGACCTTTTTTTTGTTACCATGAACTCCGCCTTTAACATGGCCGTACTAGAGGATGTAGACGAGAGGCGTAATGACTTCCAGTGCCAAGTCGGTCAGGTCTGATATCATTAGTGCCATCAGTCGCAACAGCCGCCTTCGGGGTATAGAGGAGGTCGGGCAGGGGCCCCCCCGAGGCCCCGCCGCCAAGGCCCAGTCTGCAGGGACCGACACACCAGATGTAAGCATCACCGATGACGGTATCGGTTCTCTCAGCGGGTCGCCGGGGTCAACAAGGATGCTCGCCGACTCCTCGCTCACACAGTCAGACACCAGAAGAGACATTTTCTTGGCAACACCAAAAACTAGCACCCGGGACGCCCAGCACTCACAGAGTCAGCAGCACTCACAGAGTCAGCAGCACTTACAGAGTCCGCAGCACTCACAGAGTCAGCAGTCCTTACTGAGCGACTTCTCTGAACACTTGACGTTAGAGAGGAGCGAGACCCAGGAAGGTGACCCCCCGTGGCTCACCAGACGGGACAGTAAGTCAATCTGGGAAGAACCTTCACTGAGTGAGGCAGAGAACTCCTGCAGGAGTGAGAGCCGTGTGGCAGCCACAGATGAGGTACAGCAGCTGACACCAGATGACTACACTGAGGCAGGTCACCATAGAAACGAAGACCCTGCCTGGCACAGCACCGATAGGAGGTCACAGCTCAGTGTCCACAGTGACCATAACTCAGTGTCGACGACGTCGATAAGGTCAGCAAATTCTGAAGAGTTGATCCCGAAGCCACAAGAGACGAGTGAAAGTTGGAGGACACCAGAAGCGTCTCCCGGCCACGACCCTCACGACTCCGACTGTCACTCTCAGGCCAACAACAAAGACTTTGAACTTGAAATATTTGTCGACAAACCAAGAGAGAAAAACTGTACGTCAATAAAGGATCCATTAAGCGACCCTGTTGTTGACGGTGAAGATGTAGTGAGTGAACCAAACAGGGCAGCCGTCAGCGACACACAGTCTCTTAAGTCCGCTCAAGAACCAGTTGTGTCGCCGCGTGTAGAGCCCGTCCTCGCCCCTGACACAGAGGTCCAGGAGGAGCAGCTGCTTACTTCTGTCTTGCGTTCAAAAGACGGAAGGAAAGTGCGCTCCTCGTCAGTAGGTCACAGGGTGAGGTTCAGAGGTGAGTGTTGCATCGCGGAGCCCACCTGCGACGCCTCTTCCCTGGACGGTTACCGGCACCACGCCACAACCAGACGAAGTCGCCGTAACAAGAGAAAACTCAACAGATCAGGTTAGCTCCACACTATACCCCATTGTTCTTGTCGCTGAAATACCTTGTCATTTATTGGCTGATATGGATGATAGACTTAGCCTGTCCGGGGCTGATGAGGCGGCGATGCTAGTTAAACCCCCTGTGGACGCAGCCAGTGTGTCTAACATGGGGGCGGACGTCAACAAGGAGGAGGAGGGGCGCCACGAGTACTCCACACTGCTGAGGGAGATTCACGCCCTTATGGCAGAGGTGAAACGGCAACGGGAGGACTTCCGTACCGAGATACGCTCCCTGGCCTCCACTATCAACCGTAAATACAACTACACCTCCAGTAGGAACTGTGTGTGTTCCTCCGTCAGGAGGGGCTCTCGCCTCCCCGTCATGGTAGGACATTCACTGATTGTGGAGAGACGAAATGTTTTGTAATAATCTGCCACCGACCAGCCTGGGGTCAGTCTGTCTAGCATCCATTTTTGGTCAAACTCTCCATCATGTTTGTCACGCACAGCCGTGTATATACACACACCACTGTAAGCTTTGCCTGTCTGTGTTGTGGTTCAGGTATAAACACCTTCCTTGTGCACCTCTCTCGTGTTAAGTTTAACAATGTTGTCCACGTACAGTGTTATTACAGCGTATGTAGTCACACCTCGCTGGACTTATTATATTAATTCTCCAGCTGATAATTATTTTACAGAACTGAGCAAGGGTCTTTAACTAGGAGTGACATTATATTATTTACTTAATAAAAACATTAATTAAAGGTGTGTGTGTGTGTGTGTGTGTGTGTGTGTGTGTGTGTGTGTGTGTGTGTGTGTGTGTGTGTGTGTGTGTGTGTGTATGGCGCCTCTCACAGCCTTCCAGGAGATTTCCCAGGTCCTCAGCCAACACGTGTTACATGATGCAGCTTATTCCCGTCCTTCGCGCCTCACCCAGAAGTACCACCTACATACACCCTAAACCACCCACCCTCCACCACCCGACACACCCACCCCTCCACCTCCAACAATCACCAACACCTCCCCTCAGCACCTCCAACAACAATCACCTTACCTCCCCTCAGCACCTCCAACAATCACCAACACCTCCCCTCAGCACCTCCAACAATCACCAACACCGTCACTCTTCATTCATCAATATTTATCAGCGTTTCATTTACTCACTATTATTTATTGGATTTCCTCTCACCAGCCCCTCTCACCAGTCCTCTCACCAGTCCTCTCACCAGCCCCCTCTCCTGGCCCCCTCTCTGGCCCCCTCTCCACCAGCCCCCTCTCCCCAGCCCCCTCTCCTTGGCCCCTCACCAGCCCCTCTCACCAGCCCCTCTCACTGGCCCCTCTCACTGGCCCCCCCCTCTCACCAGCCCCCCCTCTCCTGACCCCTCTCCTGGCCCCACTCTCCCACCAGCCCCCTCTCTGCTGGTCCCCTCTCCCACCAGCCCCCCTCTCACCAGCCCCCTCTCTGGCCCTCTCTGCCCCCTCTCACCAGCCCCCTCTCCACCAGCCCCCTCTCACCCAGCCCCCTCTCCTGCCAGCCCCCTCTCCCACCAGCCCCTCTCACCAGCCCCCTCCTCACCCAGCCCCCTCTCTGGCTTCCCCCTCTCACCAGCCCCTCTCACCCAACCCCCTCTCACCAGCCCTCTCTTGGCCCCCTCTCCACCAGCCCCCCCTCACCAGCCCCCCTCACCAGCCCCTCTCCTGGCCCCCTCTCCCAGCCCCCCTCTCCTGCCCCCCTCTCCCACCCAGCCCCCTCTCACCCAGCCCTCACCTCGGGTTTCTTTGAGAGAGGAAGATAAAACCATCGATGACGTCATGTGTAAACAAGCTCGAGGGGTGGGATGACTGGGCGGGTCTCTGCCTGTGTTGTTGTTGTTGTTGTTGTGTTGTTAATGCTGCTATTGTTAGTTGTTTTGTGTTGTTGTTAATGCTGTTATTGTTGTTATTAATGCTGCTGCTGTTGTTGTTTAAGTGTCTGAGAGAGAGAGAGAGAGAGAGAGAGAGAGAGAGAGAGAGAGACGTGACTCCCGAGGCCTGGCAGCTGATGGTGGTCCACACGCTACTGCCTGATAAGGTTCCTAGGGGCGGGCGGGAGGGAGGGTGTGGGGAAGAGATACAGCGATTCCTCCACCTTCAGGATATATCTGTCTCGGGTAAAGAGTTTATGTACGTTTTCTTATCGTTTAGCTACTACGGCGTCTAATATACATGACCAGGTACACATAATAATAATGGTTGCCCCTAATGTAACGAGGATGGCCGGCACAAAGGCCTCCTAGGCGTGAATTTGTTTAAGGTGTAGAAGCTGTTGCCAACACAACAACCACACCCTGAGTTAACGAGCTGTATGACCCAGTGTTTAAGGTGTACAAGCTGTCGCAAACACAACAACCACACCTTGAGTTAACGAGCTGCATGACCCAGTGTTTAAGGTGTAGAAGCTGTCGCCAACACAACAACCACACCCTGAGTTAACGAGCTGCATGACCCAGTGTTTAGGTGTAGAAGCTGTCGCCAACACAACAACCACACCCTGAGTTAACGAGCTGCATGACCCAGTGTTTAAGGTGTAAAGCTGTTGCCAACACAACAACACCCTGAGTTAACGAGCTGCATGACCCAGTGTTTAAGGTGTAGAAGCTGTCGCCAACACAGCACACCCTGAGTTAACGAGCTGCATGACCCAGTGTTTAAGGTGTAGAAGCTGTCGCCAACACAACAACCACACCCTGAGTTAACGAGCTGCATGACCCAATGTTTAAGGTGTACAAGCTGTCGCCAACACAACAACCACACCCTGAGTTAACAGAGCTGCATGACCCAGTGTTTAAGGTGTACAAGCTGTCGCCAACACAACAACCACACCCTGAGTTAACGAGCTGCATGACCCAGTGTTTAAGGTGTACAAGCTGTCGCCAACACAACCACACCCTAAGTTAACGAGCTGCATGACCCAGTGTTTAAGGTGTAGAAGCTGTCGCCAACACAACAACCACACCCTAAGTTAACGAGCTGCATGACCCAGTGTCAAGGAATAGTCCGAGAAGACCGGACAACTCACCAACTGCACTGGCTAACCATTACCCCGGAACATGATTAACATCCAGGTCCCCAATTACTGCTGGGTAGACAGAGGCAAATGGCGTAAAGAAACTTATCCATAGTTTCACCCTGCCCGGGAATCGAACCAGGGTCCATTCGCTTGCGAGGTGAGCATACTGACCCTTACACCTAGGGACACTATAGTTAATGTCACATCTGAAGTTCAAAATGTTTATAATTACTTATTAGTCTATATGAATTAGTTTATTTCTTATACATCTGACAATCTTGTTTACAGATAATATTAACACCAATTATAAACATTAGTCTTGTTTATAATACTCGGGGGGAAAAAGACTCGTGTTTACTGGGCCTACCGCATGTTGATAATGGCGCCACCTGCAACACTCAGCTCGCCTTTATACGGTATCTTGTAATCCATCACGCACGTTACCGCCGTGTTTCTGCTTGTTGTAACCTAACCTAACCTAACCTAACCTAACCAAGCAACAACTTGTATATTCGTGAGTAATCAGACTAATCATCTTAACCAAGTCTTCATCTTACACACGAAATTCTTTAACCCTTTGAGGACGATGGTTTAACCCTTTGAGGATGATGGTTTAACCCCTTTGAGGACGATGGTTTAACCCCTTTGAGGACGATGGTTTAACCCTTTGAGGACGATGGTTTAACCCTTTGAGGACGATGGTTTAACCCTTTGAGGACGATGGTTTAACCCTTTGAGGACGATGGTTTAACCTTTGAGGACGATGGTTTAACCCTTTGAGGATGATGGTTTAACCCTTTGAGGACGATGGTTTAACCCTTTGAGGATGATGATTTAACCCTTTGAGGACGATGGTTTAACCCTTTGAGACGATGGTTTAACCCTTTGAGGACGATATTTTAACCCTTTGAGGACGATGGTTTAACCCTTTGAGGATGATGGTTTAACCCCTTTGAGGACGATGGTTTAACCCTTTGAGGACGATGGTTTAACCCTTTGAGGATGATGGTTTAACCCTTTGAGGATGATGGTTTAACCCCTTTGAGGGATGGGTGAGGTGGGTGTGTCCAAGTGGATGAGTCAGGTGGGCTTGTCCAGGTGGGTGAGTGAGGTGGGCGTGTCCAGGTGGGTTGGCGAAGTGGGCGTGTCCAGGTCGTGTGTAGCCTCGCCCTCCCACCATTATCTGACGTCAATTATTTGGACGATCGCATATTAACCCTCTGGTGGTAAGGAAGGAAGGGCGGCATACTGATGGAGGAAGGTCACTAATAAGGAGGAGAGTGAAGGAAGGAAGATATTGCAACGGAAGGAAGGATAGGATAAAGCAGTAATAAGAAATAGGGGAAAGAGAAGAGAAAGTGGGAGATATTGAAACAGTTTCTTTAGCCAGAAGAACACCGATAATAATAACAATATTAACATGACTGAGCCAGTTGAGAGCCTGAGCTGCACCTGTACATTTATCTCAAGGAAGTTGATATATGATAATGGAGGGAAGCAGTACAACACGGGTTGTGTTAAGGTGGAACAAGAGGACTCAGCTGTCAGTATTATGTCTCGTTGGCAAATATATTTATTACAATGGTAATTTCTCTCTATCTACAGATAATTTATGATATAACAGTTTTGGTGGCACAATAAAAGTAGGGATATAAAGAAGGTATTACAAAAAATATTAATACTTAGATAATAGATAATTTTTAAGAGATGATTTAAAGGAAGTAGTCTTTGCTGGGATGGGTGGGGGTAAGTTGTTCCACACCTTCACACCGTGATATTTTATGGAGGTCTGGGACTGAGAGGAGCGCATGGGGGGTGGTCTTAGTAGCTCTGGGTGCCTTAAGTTGTATCACTGATTATTCCAGAACCGGAAATAATTATTGGCATCAAGTGATTGACAGATTTGTCAAAAAATAGTTCACAGCAGTAGGTGTTAATATCATCGAATTTTAAGATTTTCAATTAAGCAAATTGTTCGTTTGTGTGATCTGGTTTTTTTCAATTAGGTCGTTATCTGCACAACTCTCTTCTGTGCAATAATCAGGGGTTGTGTTTTTGAAGAGCCAGAGGCCCCCCATAGTGTGTGACAGTGTATCAGGTGTTGGTAAACAAGATCATTATAGATTTCTTTCATTGCTGCGAGTAAGTGACTGTCGAGTGTGATACATGATACCGCACTGTTTATTGACTTTACTGTGAATGGCTTGTATGTGGTTTCTCCAGTTAAGTTTCTCATCAACAATAACTCCGAGGAATTTAGTATTTTGTTCGTGTTTGAGGACTGTATTACCAAGGTACAGGGGGTCCAGGTCTGGGGGTAAATTTTTCCTTCTGTC